GTTATCATATTGATCTGGTCTGGCCTATATGTGACTCTTAATTGCCATCTGAATAGCCAATTAGTATACTGGAGAAAGGGGCTCACCTGTACCTTCTCAGGGTCTGTAATCGGGATAGACAACAAATGCTGGCCTTACCAGCATTACCCATGTCTTAAGAATGAAAAAAAAAACAGAACAATGGATGTTGTCCACTCTGTTTCAGAGGATCATGGAATTGATAGTAGAAGTGGTAAGCTCAATGGGCCTGATTGTAATTTGCCACCTTTCTGTTTATCTATTCATAGAATGTCAAGCCAAGCCTCTGATGAAAGTTACTCCATTTAACAACACATGTGTCAGCCCACCATTTGTCTAATGCATAGAATTGCATAGAATGTAAAGCACAAAACAGGCCATTCGGTCCAAATCATCCAACCTGGTGTTTATCATCCACATGTACATCCTCCCATTGTGTCATCAAATGTGAAATAGTAGAATTAAAGTGATGAGACTGATCTAGGGCTGGACGTTTTAGATTTTAAAGAGATTCATGGAGGTAAGAAGTTTGTTAACCCCCCATATTTATAAAGTAATCTGTTCTTTAAGAAATTCTTTAATTCCTCCTCTACTTGACAGCTCTGTTGTAAACATTATGCCTTGGAAAATCTCCTCTGTGCTGAAACTGCCAGCTCTGCTTGAACTGAAAAGAAAAGAAACATTTCAGAGTTCTTTCACAACTACACTCTGAAAGGAACTGTGTGAAATTTATTTCAATGGACAGGATGTGCAAACACAGGATACTGTAGATTCGATTTATGATGTGCACTTTATGAATTCTAATTTATGTACACCGACCTGAGCTGATACCATGTTCAAAAGACATTGACTTTGGGTGCAATAATTCAATGACAATTTACACAATATAGTAGATCTTCAAAAATATTGAAGTGTGTCTGGTGTAAACATTTTGTTTGAACAGAGGTACAGCTGTGCTGACTGAGTGAATATAATCAATTATTAAATTGATTAGAATTTTTAATAGACAGAAAATTAAATACTCAGTTATGGCATTAATTCAACTCAGTTACGAGGCGCAAATGAGAATTGTGATGGATTGCCTGTTGAGCGTAGCTCCAGTGAAATGCAATAAGCCTGACATTATCCTGGACAAAGAATCATACTTGATCAACATCCTATCCACCACTTTAAGCAATTACTCTCTCTGCTACCAGAGCACAGTGGCAGCAATGTGCACCATCCACAAGATGCAGTGCAGCATCTTCCTGTGTCTTCCACTGCATCTCCCCCATCTGCAAACTCCACAGACAAAGACAGCAGATGCATGGGGACGTCGCCACTTGATAAATACCCTGAGAAGACACACGTCGTCCTGACTTGGTAATAGGATAAAAACACTTCTTCACTGTTGCTGGGACAAAGTCCTGAAACTCCCTCCTGAACAGTGTTTGTGGTTGAAGGAGGTCATTCACCACAAGGTCAGTTAGGGATGGACAATAAAGGCTGGCCTCACCAGTGATGCCCACATCTCGTCAGCAAGTCATAAAAACAAAGCAAAAGAGTTCAAAATGAAAATCAGATTGGTCTTCACACTAACCAGTTCATTTATTAAGAATGGAACTGTGTTGTGAAGATCAGGAAATTAAGTATTGAGCTCTGACCTGTGCTGCATTAACTGGTCACAGCTGGGAAACTAGTGCCAGGGCATACATGCGACCTTGCGTCACTGATCAACAGAAAATATATCAATCAAGGTCATTCCTGATTTGCAATCCAATAATTTCTGGAGAGTGTATGTGTGTGGCTAGATCAAACATGGCCAGTTGGTGAAACACTGGAATATTGACAGCACAGATACCAAGAGATGAAGGGAAAAAAAAATTCTTTTTTCTTAAAAAAGTATCTTGTATTTGAATAAGGATGACCAAAATAAATTCGAGCATGTTCCATTTTTGTCTGAATTGAACCAACACATTTGGGTTTAGAAAAAATAATTAAATTGATCCAACTTAAGCAGAGAGGGGCAATCAGGAAGATTCTCTCTCCCTTCAGACGAACCAGTAAGGGGCTTGTTATGAGCAAATATCACATTGCTATGCCTGGCCTGGCTCCCTCTTCCCATCTTATAGCCGATCTTACCAGCTTCCGATTCAAATTGTGCTATTCAAAGTAGCACTTGGTAGATTATTTGAACAAGTTTACTCTGTTGATTACAAAGTGTATAAGAGGGAGGTCACTGCAGTCTATGTCTCTAGGGAAACAGTTAAATATTTACTCAGACTGCTGCCTCCCACATAAATAAATTTTAAGGGTTCATTTAATTATGTGGTGTTCAATAATCTGGGAGCTTTCACAATGTTTTTACTAGTCTTTTATAATTATCAACAATGAGAACTGAATAAAGATGCTTAAATGTAAACTATTTGTTGATCAGCCATTGGTAACTAATCTCTAGTTTTGTCTCGTCAACATAAGTGTTCTCGCACAAGTGAAATTAATGGAGCTGGGTAAAATAAAGTTGTAGAGTTTTTTCAATTATAGCAGGTTTGTTTAGTTAGTAGTTTGATTGCAGTTTGGGAATACAGTGACATTTCTTTTTGTCTCTCTTTTATATTCATGTGAGACCGTTCAGGAAAAAAATTTAAAGATACACGCAAAACAAGGCCAACTCATCAGAGACCCCGCTGTTGCTAAGCAACCCTTTTTAAGCCCTCGCTTTGCATAATTGTGTAATGGCTGTATTTAAATAAGTTGACTTCAGAAAGATAAGGAGCGTGTAATGCTTTTTGTAATGAATCCTATTTACACTGCACAAAAGGAAAATATAATTTCATGGAAAACATTGATTTTCCATTACAAAGAAAATGGATCCTAGTAATTATTTATTTATTGATGTTTCTACAGGATTCCTATCTTTGGTACAAAATGGTGTAAATCCCTCCTGAGCCTCAAAAGTGTAAAAGTTAACATACTGAAGATTATGCAGCAGTAAACGTTCTTATCCATAATAAGAGTTAAGCAAAAGAAATATATGGGTATGTACCGAAGATTTTAGAGTGTCAAGCAGTGGAATTTTATTACAGAGTTGAGAGAGAATGCTTTGTTTCTGAAGGTTCAATGAAAGATAGACTTGATACCAAGTACAGAAACAACAAAGACCTGCTGATGCTGGGAAGCTGAAACAAAAACAGGAATTGCTGGAGAAACTTAGCAAGTCTGGCAGTATCTGTGGTGAGAAAGCAGAATTAAAATTTTAAATTCATTGACCCTTCTTCAGCATAGAAGTAAAATTATGAACAGAAGCTGTAGAATTACAGCCATTGAAATAGACCCTTCAACTCATTGTGTCCACTGAATGCCCTTATACATTTTTACTTTCCATTTCTGGTGTGTATATTTCTCAGTTATAGCACAGCTCTTGCCATGATAAATGAATGATGGTTTAGCCAAATAATGTTCTTTAACTTTACAGTGATTACTTGGATCCTTCCAGATTTTATCTGTGCCTGCAACCATAGCTGTCATAAGACATCAGAACTAATTGTCAATTTGCCTCATTAATTTTGTCCTTTCTACAGATTGTGTATAATCTGTTCAATCGCCAATTCTACCTGTTCGAATTCCTGAAGGAAAGGTCCGTGATGTTTCTCCTCCTCTCCCATTCCTAGCACAAAAGTACTGAGGTGAATGAAAGTATGAAGATGGAACCCGATAGAGAATAGCCCTACTGATATCTCCTGGTAAGAGAGCAAGTTTGGGTTCATTGGTGGTGTCAGTCAGATGAGCCCAACAGCAAAGAGGTGGTGCCTAAAGAGTGATGACTCCTATATTGGTGAGTCCAGCTTGTGAGGCGATGGAGGAGGGTTGGAGTTACATTTGTCGTTAGTGAGCCTGCTCAGAGCTCAGGACGCATGGTGGAAGTAGTGCAACGAAGATCGACTCTCTTTTGGTTATATATTTTCATTCTTAAACTATTCAAAATGGCGACAGTTGAAGCTTTTCACTGTATTTTGCTGTATTATTCACTGTAAAGTACAATTGACAATAAATCATTCATTCATTTGTGCTTCAATAACTCACAAGTGACATTGTCACAGGAGGCACTATCTGTGGTTCTGTTAGTGGCACCACTGCCTTTGAACTAGAGGGATGAGGGTTTAGGGCCCATTCCAAAAGGCGAGCATAGAAAAACCATGCTGATTCTCCAGTACAGCACTGTGGGTGTGCTGCACTGTTAGATATATCAATTTTTGGATGAACGTTCAACCCATCTCTCAGATGGATAGAAAAGTTCTTATGACGTAGGGCAACTATTTTGTACAAGGGAAAAGGAGTCATCCCTGGCGTCCTAGCAACATTTATCTCTTAAACAGCACCCACGAGAGTTTGAAAGGGTCACTGGACTTGAAAGGCTAACTCTGCTTTCTCTCCGGCAATTTCTTTTCTTTCAGATCTTTAGCATCTGCAGTTCCCTGTTTTATTTTACCTAAGAGAGTTTGTCTTGTCATTATCACACAGCTGTTTGTGCGAGAATTAGCTGCACCATCATAAGGTGCTTCATAAATTGCAAAGTGCCTTGAAACATTCACTGGTCATCATATAAAAGAAACTCTCGCATTAATTTCCAGTCAGAAGTGTTATTTTTTTCTAACAACAACTCAGACAGGTGAGTTTAGTAATGCACCTGTTGTAATAGCAAAGGTCTGGCTTCTGCAGAACACCTGCTGTGTGCCTCATTTATCAAGAAAATTGTCAGTTCTTGACATGAATTAAACCTGCAAGCCAGCAGATTGCAGTGTGAGACCAACAGCTTAAAGGGATGGTGAATTTTTTTCCGGGCCAAATAAATATAATGGGCCTGGATTTGCTGAAAATCTGCATTGTAAGAAAGGGGCATACACCTGTATTCCAGTGAATTATCTTGTGAATGTTTTTTGCCTTGACATACTCCACTCAAGCCACAGAGAATCTCATCAGAAATGCTGAGCCTTAAATGCTTATATCTCTGGCCCTCATTAAAATTAACGGCTAGAACAAGTTTGCTGGATTGGTGCCAATGTCATCACGATGTTGCAGCAAAACACTGGAGGACTCAAGATGAGTTCATTATTCAGTCGCTGTGCAGATTGTTTGAGGAAAACAATGTGACTGACTTGTCTTATAAATGTTATTGGAATCTTAAACCTCAATTAAGTACTAAAATAAATTTGATGACTTTCCAGGAACGTTCTGATTTTCCCTGACTAATGGTACTTTTACTTTGAGCTTGTGCAGTATGTCTGAACGAAGTTTGGTGAGGGGTTAAAAGCAATCTGGATGACAATCCAATATGTACAATGCTATCTTAATGCTGATTTCTTTTAACATTTCTATTGTGTTTGTACCATCTCCTCAATTCATTTAAACCAAGTTTAGACATGCATCGAAAAATGTCCAGATTGCCAGATTATCATTGTTCTTAGATCCAGCCTTCTTATCAACAGCAACATGTATTTATATAATAAACAACCCCAGCACACTTAATAAAAGCGGTATCAACAAAATAAATGCACCAATCCATAGCATGATGGCAAAAATGCTTGTCAAAATAGACAGGATTTAACAGAAGGAGACTTAGTCATAGCCTCAGCTGATGGTCGCCAAAGTCATCCAAGGTAGGGGGCAGCAATCCATCTACACTGTAGTTACCAATGAAAGGGCATTGCCATGCCTAAGAACCTGCCAGAGAATCAAAAAGACCCCCTATTAGTCACATTACAAGTGTGTAAGGGTAAGTTTACAATTTAAACCATTGCTCTGCCTATGAGATAATGTGTGAATTATTGATGTGTCATTTGCACACCAAGGAGAGGAGCACTGGTTAGTTTCTGGTGTGACAAACTGGGTGTAGATGATTTCCATGGGTATCATTTACAAATGTGCATTAAGGTACAATCAGGGCAGTTGCATGTTTGTGGTAATTGTGACTTAAGAGATTGTTTTCCAGGTGAGGTTGGAGGTAGAAAAAGGGAACGGAATGTAATATGTGGGAAAGCCTCAAATGCCTGAGCTGGATGATTAAGATCCAAGTGATCGAGAGCTTCTCTGTCTCTCAACTACCCAGTCTCTCCCTGATGGGCCCTTGAAGATCAACCAGTGCTGGTTCCTCCACCTCCTCCTCTTCCTCCTCATCAGAGAAATGACTGTTCTACCTTGTCTCCTCATCCATTAAGACACCTCCTCTCTGGAGTTCATCCTTATGGAGAGCATAGCACACTAATGGCATCTAGGACACTATGGATGACCTGCACTGAGGAGCTCCTTCTGATCTGTCTTGGCAGCAAAACCTGTTGAGGAGGCCAATTGTTTGTTCTATAATTGCACTGATTGTGCTGAGGCTCTTGTTATACAGTCCTCACTGGAGGGCAGACATCTCACAGAGACCAATATCCCCATATTGCACCGAGTAGACACAATGCTTTGGAAGATAAAGAACAACGTCCACAGAGTTGCAGCCTAATGAATGGCCAAGGATCCTAACAATGGCCAAGGATCCTGACAATGGCCAAGTATTTTGCACCTTCCAAATATTTCTCATCGCAAGTCTCTCAGTTTTCTGTCCTGCTGAAATCATACAAGCAACTATGCAAAATAAAAGGAGTTATCACTCAATCAATTTGACTACTAATGAATTTGACCATCTTTGAAATATCAGTTTCAAATTATTCCTGATTTTGAGGCCCACATAATATTACATATCAGTTTAATTGCATTAGGAATGTAACCCAGTTTAATCATACCAGATATTGTGTCCCTGCAGGACAAAAGACCCCCTGTTTCAGAAGATAAAATTTAGCCCATGTGTAAGGGAACAACATTTACATTGGTCTCCTTCGAGCTGTTTCACAGATATTTGAATGATTACCAAGTACGTTTATTAGAGAATTAGAGGTACTTTTCATGACAACTTTCAATTTTCTATGTTCTTTCAGTGACATCTTTGAAGATATTAATCCTTAACCAAAGATATTAATCCTAAACCAAACTCATCATTCAATGCCTTTGCTTAGCACGAAGACACTTCCATTATTGATATTTCTGAAGACTCATATCTATCATTGTGAAAATTAGTTCATTTGGAGTGCTGAGAAGATACCCAAACTTGCTGTTTAAACAGTTAATTGAAAAGACACTTATTTTCAAAAGCAATTGAGTGGAAATCACGTGGTTTATGTTAAGTAAATGATCAAAGTTGATAACTCAAATAAACACAAAATACTGTGAGTTATGGAGAGAAGACTTTGAAGATGAGTCATATTAGACTTGAAATGTTAACACTGATGCTCCCTCCATAGTTACTGCCAGACATACGGATTCTCCAGCATTTTCCGTTTTTGTTCAAGTTTGGTAACAGTCAAATTTATTAGAAGTTTCATATCTTCAATTATTTGCTGATATTTACTAGAAGTCACATGTCTGGGTTTGTGGTTGTCAAGAGCAGTGGTCATTTTGATAGTGCTGCATTCTGAGTTGATGTCTATCCAGTCAATAATTAAGACACTTAGCCTGTCCCCATGTCACCTTTCTGAGAATTCCTTTTTAGGATCTAATTTGGTAGTTGAGAAAATGGAACAGCTATTTCCTTGAGAGGATTCTACTGTGGCTGAAGATCTCAATGATAGCTGTCTAGTGGCACCCATCTATGTGTGCAGAAATGCAAAGCAAGTATCCGGAATATTCCACACCTTATCCTTTTTCTTCAAGAGCTAACCATTACTTAGCTAAAGAGTTTGTTTCCAAAATTAATCTCTGCAGAGAAAGCTGTTTAGTTTTCCTTCTTTAATGGGTGTGTGTGATAGTTAGGTTATTTAGAAAGGTAAATATTTATACTTCCAAAGCTCATAAACCAGCTTTGCATATTTGTTGAATAAATCTCCTACCTAAAAAATCAACACATTTGTTGTTCATTAAAGAAACTTGGTTAATGGATTTTTATTCTAAACTTAATGTAGTTAAAGTATATAATTGGCCATATCAGTAACTGGGCAAAATACTTAAATCTATGTTGTGCTCGTGAGAAGTGGGACAAGACATTGACAGCAAACTTCTCCAAACTTGGTCGTAACATCACTAATGGGCTACTTGATAAAACTTGAAGATCAGGATAAATTCTTTCGTCAAATAAACATCCTCGTCTCCCATTCTGTTTCAGGGGAAGGCGACACATAATGGAAGGAAGCCAACCAGCATGGCATGAGGCATCTCTAGTAAGTGAGTTTGAGATGCTTGCCTTCCAGACCATTGGGTCAGTGTACACTGGAGGAATGGAGGGAGATGAAATTGGACACCACCTCTCCAGCTTGAGGTCAGTGTTGTTGCGTTTAGCATTATCCTTCTTGTACTGTTCTTACTCATCCTATTGGATCAATCATTCACTTTATGTCATTAACTGACATCCTTTGCCATGTGACTCATTGTTCCTTAGATGTTAATTTCAATGACGACTTTGCCATTTATGCTACTTTCTTCTTTCTCTAAATGTGACACAGGAAATTATGTCAGAGTCCTGTGATCCACACCTGCCTGAAGGCCTGAACCCTACAAGCCTTGTTCATAGGAACTGCTGGAAGCCATTCAGTTTTTTTTTCTTGATTTACATTAATCTTGAGCCCCAAGGAGCAGGAGAAATCTTCTTGACTCTGTAAAATACACTTGCTGGTATGGGGCTCTCTTCTGCTACCTTGACTTTGCTTCTCCTCCTCCATTAGGGCCTATCAGTGGACTGGAATTCAGGCCTTCTTTTTGGTTCTGACCTCTTGCATTCATGTGAGAGTGAATTTGGCTCAGCTATCAGTGTTGTAGGGCATGAGTGAAACAGTCACTCCACCATTGGCTTGTTGCTGGTTTTGGGTGTGTTCTTTTCGCTCCTTTCCACCAACACTGCCTCCTGACATCCCCCACTCCTGAAACACACTTCCATCCTCCCCACCCCTCAGAGGCATTGCCAACAAGTTATGTTTACTATATGGTAGAAAATGAAGAGCTAATGAGACTCCGTGGTTGACATTGATGGTACACAGTGTTCTCTTTGTAGACAATGAATTTGATTCAGTCAAGTTAGATATTGCAAAATGTCACACTATTTGACATGTGACATCTAATGTGCATGAAAATTGCTTTGAACTTTGAATATCCTCTTCAAATTGATTTTCAATAGGAATTGAGTGTTTTCAATTTGATGACACCAACTTCACTTAAATATTTCTGTCAATCAAGTGATTGTACATTTTATAATCTTATAACTATGGGTCGAAAATCTCTGCCATGAAGTGTCATCTATGAAGGATTAGATCTTGGATATTCTTTATTCATTCGTGGGAAGTGGGCCTGACCATTTGGATGAATATTTATTACCTATTCAAAATTGCCTGGAGAAGGAGGTTAATGGTGGAGGAAGTGAATACTGAAGGTGGTGGTCAGAGTGCCAATCAAGTGGGCTGCTTCGTCTTGGATGTTATCAAACTTACTGAGTGTTGATGGAGTTGCAACCAATTATCCAGACAAGTGCAAGTGCAACTCCTGACTTGCACCTTGTAGATGGTGGGTAGGCTTTGGGTAGACAGGAGGTGTGCTATCTGCTGCCGGATTCCAAGCCTCTGATCTGTTCCTGTAGCCAGCATCTATTTCACTGGTTCTGTTCGGCTTCAGGTCAATGGTAACTTCCTGTATGTTGATACTGGGAATTTCAGCAGTGGAAATGCCATTGAATGCGAGGGGATAATGGTTAGATTCTCATTTGTTGGACTTGATCATTACCTGGCACTTATGTGGCATAAATGTTGTTTGTCCCTTGTTGGCCCAAGCCTGGATATCGCCCAGGCTTTGTTGCATTTGAACATGAACTGCATCAGTATCTGAGGAGTCATGAACTATGTGCTGAACATTGTGCAATCATTGGTGAACATTCCCACTTCTGACCTTGTGATGGAGGGAAAGTCATTAATGAAGTAGCTGAAGTTGGTTGGGCCTAGAACACTACCCTGAGTAACTTCTCCAGAGATGTCCTTGAGTTGAAATTACTGACTTCAACAAACAGAACCAACTTCCTTTGTGAAAGGTATGACTCCAACCAGTGGAGAGGTTTTCCTAGATACTATTGACTTCAGTTTTGTTACAGCACTTTGATTCCATATAAGGTTAATTGCTGCCTTGATGCTAAGGGCAGTTGTTTTCGCCTCAACATTGGAGTTCAGTTTTTTGTCTGTGTTTGAGGTCAGGAGCCAAGTGTTCTTGCTGGAACCGAAACTGAGCATCATTCAGCTCAATAGTATTGCTTGATAGCACTGTTGGTGACCTCTTCCATCAATTTGCTAAATTCAGAGTAGACTGATGAAGCAGTAATTGGTCAGGTTAGATTTGCCCTTGTTTTTTTGTGTATTGGACATACCTGGGCAATTTTCCACATTGTTAGGAAGATGCCAGCATTGCAACTAGACTTTGACTAGGGGAGCACAAGTGTTCAGTACTATTGCCAGAAGGTTATCAGGGCCCACAGCGTTTAGTGTCTTCAGCTATTGCTTGATATTAAATGGAGTGAATCAAATTGGCTGAAGACTGGCCTCTCTGATGTTGGGGACCTCCAGAGTAGGCCAAGATGGCTCATCCACTCAGCATTGCTGGTTGAAGATGGAAACAAGTATTTCAGCCTTGCAATGATGTGCTGGACTCCCCCATCATTGAAGATGGGAATAATTTCACATCAGAAGCATTGAAGATCACCTGATAGTTGTGAAATGGAGCAACAGCTTTCTGCTCAGGCAGAGTCGTGAGATGCATTGTCAGCGCGGTGTAAGTAAACAACTGCTTTTGAGAAGTCCTAAGAGTCTAGTTATATCTCTATGATAGAGTGCACCACTGACAGCACACAGAACTCTTACCTGACAGGAACAGATAACGTGGCTGTGAAGGGGAACATTTGGGGGTGAACCTCTGTATCCTGGACCTGCTTCTTCGCCTGATCTCAGGTGACATAGCAGTTGGGGAGGTGCTGCTCACACTTATGGCTTCCTCAGCCATGATCACGTTTTGAGGTAAATGCCTGTAGGATGCAGCAGGTACCCCAGCTAAAGAAGCCCCTGGCTCCCAGCATGTCACCACGGCGATGCACGTCTGTTTGAGTCAGAGGGACCAAGGGCTACTTTTGGAGTTTGGGATACTGGCAGAACATCGGGTGGCATTTTCACATTTGATCGAGACTGATGTGCACAACTTGTTCATCTCCCTGCCACACACACCCCCCCCAAAAAAAATTACCTGATGCCATAGCAAACAACCACTTGGAAGTTTTCACTCGAAAAGGGGCCATTGCCCCAGTATTGCCATAGCCTACCATAGGAACTGAATGAGTCCAGGGTTTAGGATGGGATCACCCTGATGGATGTCAGACATTGAACGTAACTTTGGAGACTTCTAAGCTATAATCATTTAAATAGGAAAATGCATTAATCTGATGGTAGCTGGTTTTGATGTTCCACGGCAATTTATTTTATCCTTTGGTGTGTGACTGAATAGTGTCTTTGATCTATAGCTTCATGCTTTACTTTGCAAATGCAGTTCATTATCATAGGGTAGGAAATCAGAATGAAATGTCTTCGAGCAATATGGATGCTTTGCTCTTTTAATGCACTCTGGATGCAATCACTGACAAAACAGCACTGTGAAATGCCCTGAAGGAAGAAAGAAGCTGCAGGGAAGTCTCAAAGTTAAAATGGGTCAGCAAATGAAAAGACTTGCATTTATATAGCACCTTCCGCAAGCACCAAACTTCACAAATTAGGTGACAGGCTATGACATATCTTTGAAATGTGATCCTGTTGTAATGGAGGAAATTAAACATCCAATTTGTGTGCAGCAAGCTCCTACCAGCAACTATGAGACAATGATATAAAAATACTGCGGATGCTGGAAATCAGAAACAAATACGAAGAACACTGGAGGAACTTAGCAATTCTGGCAGCAGAATTTCTGTGGAGAAAGAGACAGAGTTAAGATTTCAAATCTGGTTTGTCTCTTCTACAGAAATCTGAGTTCTAAAATTACAAACCTTCAAAGAGTTGCTTACTGTACAGACTCCAGCTACACTGGGAGAAACACATCATAGAATAATTTTGAAAAAATATTCCTGTGTTAATACTTCAGTGTAACATCAGGTTTGCTGAATATAATTAATCTTATATGGCTACTTTATTTTTGAGCACTTTTGTGGGAATTTTTACAAATTCACTTATGCATTGTTTTCTTCTGTCTTCTCTTTACACCCCAGTTACCACTGTGAAAGGATAAGAGGCTTGATAAAGTGCTACCCTTCCTTTATAGACTTTGCTACTGAAGTGCCCACTGTGACATGTCCTGATTTGAGAAGATGGTTCAACTCTTTGACCCAAATGACTTTGCCATTTTTTTGTGAGCCCTCCAGGTGGGGAGTTGAGGATGTGAAACTACAACTTGTTCTCTGTGGTGTTTTGGAGCAGTGAGGCTCCTCTGGTGTTGATGATTAATCTACCATTTCATTGTTACATCATTTGAAAGACTTCTTTTTCAAAAAAATTCTTCACAAACAAATAGAAAAACAGACAAGCCTGCATTTTTTTGCTATATCTTTCATGGCTACTAGATGACACACAATGCTTTATGGACAATGAAATATTTTTGGATTGTAGAAATTGTGTCAGCCAATTTGTGTATAACAATGTTTCGCAAATAGTAATGTGCTAATCACCAGATTATCAGACTAATAGGTGGTTGTGCAGTGGTAATATTCCTGGACTAGCTAATGCAAATGTTTTACACTTCCTTTCCTTGTTCTGAGGAAGAGTCATCGGACCTGAAATGTTAACTCTGATTTTTTTCTTCACAGATGCTGCCAGGCCTACTGAGCTTTTCCAACAACTTCTGTTTTTGTTCCTGTTTTACATTAATGTTCTCAGGGAAATAGTTTTGAATTCCACCATGGCAGATAGTCAATTAACAGATCTGGAATAGAAAGTTAGTTTAGTAATGTTGTTGCACTAAACTACCTCTGATTGTTATAGAAATTAATCTGGTTTAATAATGCCCATGAAGGAAAGAAATTGACATTCTTCTCTGGTCTGGTCAGCATGTGATTCCAAACTCTCAGAATGTGGTTAACTCTGAAATAGCTGAGCAAGCTAGTCTGTCTAAAGGTACAAGTTAGGAGTACAGGTAGTTCTCCTATGACACGATAGTTGTGTTCTTGTGCAACTTCATGCTATAGAAAATCGCATTATAATGAAATCACTACACAAAAAACACTATACTGTACCGTAGAAAGTTTGTGTTATCCAAACTATGTCTACTTTTCAATTGTGTTACAGCCAATTCACGTTAATGAAACAGGCGTTATAGCAGAAATACCTGTATAATGGAGTACTCCCCACTTGGCTGGATGAGTGGAGTTCCAACAACACACACGAAGCTTGACACCATCCAGGACAAAGCAGCCCACTTGATTGGCATTACATCCACAAACATCCATTCCCTCCATCACCGATGCTCAGTAACAGCAGTGTGTTATATCTACAGGATGCACTGCAGAAGTTCACCAAAGGTCCTTAGACAGCTGCTTCCAAACCCATGACCACTTCCACCTAGAAGGACAAGGGCACTAGATCCATGGAAACACTACCATTACTCTTGAAGCCATTCGCCATCCTGACTTGGAATTATACTGCTGGTCCTTCACTGTGACTGGGTCAAAATCCTGGAATTCCCTTTCTAAGGGGATTGTGGATCAACCTACAGCACATGGACTGCAGGAGTTCAAGAAGGCAGCTCACCACCACCTTCTGGAGACATGCAATAAATGCTGACCCAGCCTGTGGTGCCCTCAAACCCCAACAGAATAAAAGCTATTAAGTAGGAACAACAATTCTGCTTTGCCAGCAATGCTCACATCCCATTAAAGAGAAAAAATAATTCTTTGCAATGCTTATTGACAGATGAATATTTACCATGATGCTAATTTAACAGAGGAAGTTTGGTTCAGAAATTTAGAACAAGCAGGAATGCATTTGTATGTAATGCCACGATGATCAGCAATACATAGATTCTCACACTCACTGCCCTTTATTACCTGATTACAAAGATGTTCTCATCTCTTGTGCATGTGGATACATCATTTTAATATTTATCAAATAGATATGGATATTTGCTTTACATGGTTTAATCTTGCCTTGTTAAATTAAAAGCAACTCTGCAATCTGTTTTACTGCAACTTCCCTGATTGAAACTGTTGATTGATAGTGAAAAGATATTATATAAAAGCCAATCGGATATGTGTTACTCATCTTGTCTTTTGGATGTGAAAAGAAATAAGCAGATTGTATTTATTCAGATGACTTGTTTTACATGCATTTTTAATCCTCACTGAAAGTTTTATTGTGGCCATGTCAATCAATGCAGGGGTGAACTTTGATGGGTCTTTATTCCTCTTTGCTGTGACTCTTGGCTGTGTTCTTGTGGAAATGAGGCTGTCTTATTTTCGTTGTCATTTTTGTGTGTGCTACAGATGATTTTTTTCTGTAAAGGTGGTAGCAAATAATGCAACAGAACAAATTGTGGCTAGGAGAGGTGCTGGTTATCATCAAAACTGTGTAGTTTCACCAGCAGTAAATATTCTTCCTTAATTCTGGCTTTTCCAGCTATATGAGGTGATGCAGTGAAGGATTACATTGTAATCAGTATTTTAATGCTCATCCTTGGCACGTCGAGGGATCAACAGTTATGGGGCGCAAGTGGGAACAGAGTACTGAGTTGGATTTTCAGCCACACTCATATTGAATGGCCTGTGCCTGCTGTTTTTCTTTTCTATGTTTCAAAGTTTCTAACAACCATGTCTCACTCATCTGTTGGTTGCCTGATCAAAGAAGGGAGGGAGGTGTGGTAACTTTGCACTTCATTCCATGTGTGGTCACACATTGCCTTCAACAAAATAGACATTACCTCCTTAGCCCATCAACAGGATGAAAACCAAGGAGGTTCTACAAGGGCAGGCATAAGACCATATGAGTAGAAGGAGGCCATTCAGCCCATCTAATCTGCTCCACCAATCAATAAGATCATGTCTATTTTGATAATCAACTCCACTTTCCCGCCTTTTTTTCCATAAATCTTGATTCCCTTACCAATTAAAACTCTGTCTCTCTCTGCCTTGAACTCAATGACTCGGTCTTGACAGCCCTTTGTGGTAAAAAATTCCAGAGATTCACTACCCACTGAGAGAGAAAAAAAATTCTTCTCATCTCCGTCGTAAATGTGTGACCCTTAATCTAAGATGGTACCTTTGGTACTAGACTCACCCACAATGGGAAACAACCTTTTTGCATCTACCCTGTCAAGTTCTGTGCATGTTTTAATAAGTTAGATAATGAAAATTAGCCACCTTGTTGATCTCTACTGGCTCAGTACTTCCTTTGGCCAATGCATGTGGTGGGATCGACAATTCCTTAGGCATTTATGGCAAAATTGTAAATGTATCCTTTTAGAAAAATTAACATTAGCATTAGAAGTAGCAACAAAGATTTCTTTGACTGACTGTTTCTGATGAAACTGTTTATCACAAGTCGACAATACAGTTTCTTCCAATTACCGTGAATCTTATGGCACCGTTCCTGCTCATAGGCACCAGAGCAGCTTTAAGCACTGCGCCTTGAACTTTGCTTCGCAGCTGTGCTATTGCATGTTATTGTGCTGTAATGCAATCTCGGTTTCTGATACTATCTCTGTTTCACAGACTTGTGTCTCCACCCACTTCCCACATTATCATTGACATTTAAGAAACTTTGCAATGAGTTCTTTGTGCAATAATAACTTAAAAATAAACGATACTTATTTTTACCTTTTCTCCTGTGAAACAAATCTGATCAAAACCTGAGACGCTTATCACAGAAATACACGGAAACACAAACTTTGTGACGAGATATCAGCACAAAAGCTGGTACACCTAGCACGTAAGCATGAGTAAACTTACTTTCCATAGCTATTCGTTTACGATTGCG